GCTATTTGGGCCATATGTTTTTGTTTTTGTTTTTGGTTTTTAAAGAGGAGGAATGAGGAAGATATAATCTTACATAGTAGAAACAATATAATTACATTGGGCCAAGAGGTTGTGTGGATTGATGGGGCGTTCAGTTTGGCAGCAGAACCTTTCCAATTTGCATCAGTCCAGCCAATTGGAACCAGTTTTGAAGTTGAATCAATCGAAAAAAAAAAACAAAAAAACATACCTTGTACTAATTTATATGATCTTATATGATTCTTGTGCATATAGAGTTATAATATATGTACATACATAGTACTTGTCTATGGTCGTGTGTTTGTTTCCAATATATGTCACACCTTCGTTATGAAAACTCCGTGTGTTTGGGACGCCAGATCCGGAGCATCCCATTTGGATCACTCTGGGCTTCCAAGGCATCGGCTTCCGGGCCTTTTCGGGCCATGGCCATGGGTTGAGTTGGCTGGGAAAAATAATCTACAAATAAAGGATTTTCCCAATAAACACCATGATTAGTTGATATTACAATTATCATGATTAGTTGATTTTCCCCATAAACCCAATAAACACCATGATGAGTTAATTTTCGTTGATATGACATTTTCAAAGTTGATACAATTATTTTATTATTGAGTTATTTATGGAATATAGATGCACATATGATAGCATGCCAAGTAGATTGGTCATACATAGAATCACCAACATAGAACGTTATTGATGAATCATTAGATAAGTTCAAAGCTAACCAACAGATCATAACCTCACATAATCATCAATGGTTCATATGAACCACCAATAACTAACCACCACTAACCCCTTCCCCCATTCATGTGACTGGGACCATAGAACGGGGGGACGGTTGAATAGTATGAGAAGCAATGAGAACCAGTATCCTCTGGTAAACTAACATAACTATAATTATATGGAAATTCACCATTTTTAATGGGTAAATCAACTATAAATGGGCCATGTTCAATGGCTATGTTAAATTACCGGAGGGTATCCAAGTTGATGAATTGTGTTTGGTGTGTTTGTGTGACATGTGATTGATTTGCTATAACTGTTTGGATGTACTTGACGAATGGAATGAATGATTCCAAACATAGAAACACTGATCCAGAAACCATGGTGGATTTGTGCAAATTTGAGGTCTCACAGCGGATCTTAATTGAATATTATGCAGAATTGAGCTTTGATTAGCTCAACCCCTAGGATCACTTCAGTTATCGGAAAACATAGCCATGGCTATATCAACTAACTTTAGGAACTTTCAGTCTTCCTATTCCAGGACGTCGAGACTTCCCTGCTTGGATGTTTATCCCAATTAGTATGCTAATCCTGTGCTCCGCAAGTCCTGTGGTCCGCAATTCCTGTGGTTATTTGAGCTATTCTGGATTTGCTGAAACAGGTGGTATGTTTTCCCTCAAGCTTAATTCACCAGTTGGAACCCCAGAATCTACTGGTTAGGTTTCCAATGGTTTTTCATATGGCCCCGGCAAATCGAAGTTTTGGCTTTTCCAAATGTGGCTTGGTTTCCCAGGGCTATCTCAGCGCCGCTTGTGGGCCTGGCACCGAAAAGGGGGAGGAACTGGAAGCAGCGGCATCAACAAACCTGGGAGTTGTTTGATGTTTTTTTCTTGGTTTAATGGGATTTAATGGGGATTTAATGGGGATTTAATGGGGATTTAATGGGGATTTAATGGGATTTAATGGGGATTTAATGGGATTTAATGGGATTTAATGGGATTTAATGGGATTTAACGGGATTCAAACAAAAACTTGGGATTTAGTGGCGCTTGGGTTCTCATGGGATTCATGGCTCATGGCTCTTGGTTTGGTGCGAGCTCGGGAATCTACTGGGACGTTTTTGTGGGATTTGTGAACGGCCCCTGGTTCCCATCATAGCTTGGGACTTGGGATTATTTAAATCATAAATTATTTAAATCATAAAAAGCTCCTAAAAAATCAACAGCAGCACCTCAAAAATCATGATGTTTTTGCATGCTTCAAATTCCATTTTCGAGCCTTGCAATGGTTGGTTGTATTCGAGGATTTACTGTAGATGTATTGTGCCATGATGGAAAGCTGCTAAGGTGGCCACAGTGGAGGAAGCGAAGGCGAGACGGGTCCCATGGGTTTCTTCCCAAGGATTTGCTGCTGAGTCGAGTAACGCCAAACGCTGTATTTTCCCAATGAGAAATCCACCACACATTTGATTTTTATGGTGAATCTGTTTCATTGCTTGGGGTTCCTTGAGCGGATCCAAGTCTTGTTCACCCATGTGGATGAGGAAATCAACTGTTGAACTAGCAACATATGGAATGGGCATGAATGGACAATGGTTTATTTCCATTTATGGATGATTTTCCTATATCAAAGCCTGAAAGCCTCCATTTATAGGGGTATCCCCTTAGTCATCAAATATAGCGAACTGGATATCATCACGATTCTTTAGTTCGTTGAATCATCGGGGGGAATGGGCCGTGGCTTCCACTGCTTCTGGTCAAATTACCAGAGGGCATCACATATCAACAAATGGATATACCCTCTGGTAAACTAACATAACTATGGAAAATTAAAAAGTTTTAATGGGTAAATCCACTATAAATGGCAATTTTCAATAGCTATGTTAGTTTACCAGAGGGTGTGTATATATATATATATACACAATACACCTGGAGAGGTTTTACTGTTTCTGGATGATAAACATGTTTTTTTTTTTTGTGTGTCTGAGTCTCTATGTGTTCAGTGGCTATGTAAACAGATTCGTTTTGGCAGTTGGTACTTTTTTGTAGCTGTAAGATCAGTTGATTAGCCAGGTACTGGACCTGGGCACCAACAGCCATTGGTTGTTTCGATCGCCGGTTTCTGGCGATGAAAATTAGGACCATAACCATGGTCACATGGTTCAGTCTCTGCATATTTTCAGATATGTTCCACATTTCCCTGAGTTTGAGCTTCTTAACAGCAGGGGTGATTCCTACATTTTTGGGGGGTTTGCGCCTGGTGAAGATGGTGAAGTAGTGCCTGCCTTTGTGGGACCCCAATGCTGGAATTGACTTGCAGGAACCGACAGAATTATGGAAAAAAAAACGTTTCAATTTACAGGCGCCGCCTGTCTATGATAGAAAAGTTACGAACCTTTTTTTTTTCCATAATTATTTTTTCCATAATTATGTTTGTTTCCATAATTCTGTCGGTGACTGTATGTCCATCGATTCGGAATTTGAATGCGTTTTAAGGGGGAATATTGAATTATAGAAAATATGTGTCTAAAGATCTGGTATATGCCCCTAAGTCTTCCATTGATATACATAATATCATGTGATGTTCGCAATTTGAATGCATTTTAAGGGGGGAATATTGAATTATAGAAAATATGTGTCTAAAGATCTGGTATATGCCCCTAAGTCTTCATACTTGCATTTGGATACATATTTCCATAACCCCCAAAAAAAAGGGGTTTGAATTGTGGATCCATGACATGTCCAACAGGTGGAGCCCCAAACATTAATTATGGAAAAAAATAATTATGGAAAAAATAATTATGGAAACAAATAATTATGGAAAAACCGGTCAATCTGCCCTAGCCCCCTGATTTTACAGGAAAAATCAATTATGGAAATAATGGCCACCTCCAAGAATTATGGAAAAAAAACAGGTTCTGATCACTTCCGGGATATTTTGAACCCTTATGGGGAAAAACCTAATTATGGAAAAATCGGACGCAGGCGCCGCCTGTCTAAGTTGAACGTTTTTTTTCTCCATAATTCTGTCGGTGACCATAGATAGATTCCCAACAAGTGTGTATATATATATATATAGCAAACCCCGGAAAGATTAAACGTAAATCTTACTACTACGCTAGTTCCGCTAGTTTAGTAATTAGGATTTTTACTGTTCTATTTTTAATTAGGGCTAACATGTAAATATCAATGTAGAGAGAGAGAGAGAGAGCGAGAGATTGGGTTCTGGCCATGACATCTTTGGATCAGCCGGCGCCAGGCCAGAAGTATTCGCTTTGGCTGCACGGACGCTCGGGAGATCTCCAGCGACCATGGGAATAGAGGTATCACGGAATTTGAGTTTTAGATGAACCACGGTGACAGCAAAGTTGATCGGGATTTCATAGGATGTTACGGGACTACCCTCTGTTTATCAGTCACATGGCAGGAAAACCCCCAGGCAACAACTATATAACAATGCTGTTTTTGCGGACGTCTTTCATTTCGTGCAGGAATTTTCCAGCCAGTAATCTTTGATTATTGGAGGGGAAGTGGTGCTCGTTGTTGTTTTTAAATGCCGTGTATCATTTTCTGGGTGAAAAAAAATCCTAGTTCTGAGACACTATATCCGAGCTAGCAACTGGTAAACTTGTTCTTGGTGATATCCTCCAGTACTGGAAGCCATGGCCCATTTAATTCCAAAATTGTATCTATTACAATCTATTACAAATGGTGATTTTCCATGGCGATGTTAGTTTACCAGCCGGTATCCACTTTTGGACTGGACTCTGGAATCTGATTTAAGATTCACAGTTCATCGATCATCCAGGCCATTTTTTCATTTAGGACACCTTTATCTTTGGTGGTCAAAACTGAGGGTTTCCATGCATCTTGCCCCTATCTGGGACATGCTCCCTGCTTGCTTGTTCATGCTACTTACTTTTACTTAGTAGATTATGCACCTGGTGCAAAACACATTGTAAGGCTGCTTACATCATCTTACATCAAGAATTCCTATTTCCCCATCATTTCAAATGGGAAGTCCATTCTTTTCAATGTTCCTTGGAAGACAACCCAGTCTATCCAAGGTTGGAAGGGAACAATGCAAGACACCCCCACCCTCCGGTAATCAAACGTGGCAAGTGGCAATGGAAGTTTCCCCTATACTATAAGTGGAGTCTTTTTATAATCTACAAATGGTGGATTTTCGCTACCCATCTTTGATTGCCAGAAGGGTATACTATTTTGGTGCCAAGATTTCGCTCTTTCGCAGCGGTTCAAATGCAGCACGCGACGCGCCCGAATGGGACAGTCCGCAGGTACTGTTGGGACTGATTCAAGTTAGATCTGAGCGCAGTGGGGGCTCAGCAGCAAAAACAAAGCAACAGCAACCAGCCGGATATTCATATATAGTACTATTTTAATATGTAATGACATGACATATATATATATATATTAATATGTACTATTTTTCAACCCATGACATGCTGTTTTTGTTGAACCTTGGTGGATGCTTGTGGTTTTTGTCGTGTTTTCTGTTGTAGTTTTGTTTGGCCATGGGACATGGAGACATGCAGCTTTACTCTTGCGGTTGGCCATATTGAGGTTGATACGTAGGTGGGCGTCTCCAATATGTGATAAATTCATTTAAATATATTATGACTGGCCTGCAGTATCAACTATATCACATATTGATTTATATTAATTAGGTGGTCATAAATTAATTTAAATATATTATGATAAATCTCAACTTGAAAATCAGACCCCGAGACCCCAAAACAAATGTTAAGAAATCATATTATGTTCTTGAGCCCGGTGCGAAATGGTGGTTGACATGACCAGAGTTTTCCCCCCATATAATCCCTCATTGTGGCTAATTAACCCCCCACGTTTGATGCTTACCATAATGTCATTATTCCATCTATCAAACATTGCGCATACTATATCGCATTATACATATATGTATATATATATATGCATACTATGTAACATTATATATATAACTATATATATATATATATAAATATTTATGTGTTATATTTATATATATATGTATTATGTTTAATTATATATACATATATATTATATGATATATATATATATATGTATTGCCCACAGTAACCATTAAATTACTCCCTGACACACTTGGAGGCTGCGAAAATGTGTGCGAGTCCAAGGCCAAGGAAGCAACGGATCCGAAACTTGGCCCGCCGGGGGGTCCCTTGGTAGTCTCTCATCGTAGACCTTGATGGATTTGAAGTAAAGAAAGTAACCAGTAACCCCCAATCAATCATTAATAATGGTCGATAGCATGATGATAAATGATAGTTATTAATGGTTATAAACAATGGTACTTACTCATGGTCATTAATGGGATCATGGTTAATAAATGATGGTTGATGATGGTTAATGATGGTTCATGATGCTTGAAAAAATAGTGGTTAATGTTGGTAAAACAATGCCGTAAGCCATCCCCCAGTCATCACCATTTTAATAGATGTTATAATAAACCATTTCCAGGTGGCTGGTTTATGGCATTGTTTCACACAAATATTTCTCTTGGATCGAGTGAGTGTATATGATGCATTGTGTTTGTGTACATAATATGCATCTATAATTGCATATCAGATTATACTGCCTGGTTTGTCAGGGAGTATTATGGCCAATGAACTGGGAAGCCCCATGAACACACAAAGAGCAAGGACGTCTGAGGGTTTGAAACATGGGTACTCTATGGTACTCTCTCAATCATTTCCGTTACCCTTTGGATCCCTTTGGTACTCAAATATGGCTAGCTGGGAAATCCCTGAACTATATAAATGGTGGTTTGAATCAAGGGAAAATCATCTATCAATGGGGATGTTCCCTGGCCACGTTTGGTTGCCGGACGGTAACGTGGTGCACGCAGTGTGTTGAACACATGTTTCTTTTTGGTGTGGAAATAGCAAGTTGTTTCGTATCACCATGGTAAAGAACAACTCCTCTATTCACTGTTATTCACATGGGACTATAGACATGCTTATTTCCAGATTAACCAAAAAAATGTGTACTGCGGCAGGCCCAATCATGAGCCCCACTGATTGTGATTCTTGCCACAGAAACATAGAGAGTGCGAGCTATTAAACAGAAAATGATTCGCGAAAAATGTAGACGGGAATTCACGGACCCATAGGGGTTGAAAGATCATAATCATACTTCAATGATGTTCCATGATGTTCCATGATGTTCCATGCTTAATGTCCATGTTCACATTCTACTTGGTTTATAAGATGTTATAGTATATACGATGTTATAAATACTACTAGATTATTCCATACCCACTGGTATTTGTTTGCATAGCTATTGAAAACCAGCATTTCAAATAGGTAAATCCTCGAACTAAACGGGCTATGGCTTCCAGTTTGCAACAAATTACCGGAGGGTATGCCTAGAAGGTCAACCTGACCCCCAAGTCACCATGGACTGACTTGGATGATTTGGGGATACCCCCATGACTTAGGAAACCGCCACATGGAAAAAAAAAAAAGATCCAGTTTGAATCTGAAGCACGGAAGCGGTCAGATCGTCTTAAATCCAATAAAGTATGAGAGGTCAGACTGACCCTGCCGCACTGCGATCACTTTGACTGATGTTGCTTGCCTTGTTTTTGCTAACGCCGCCCATAAAAAACCGGGGGAATTTTAACATTTGTTTAACGTCCGATGTTTCTTGTGGGTATGGGTCGGGTGGGGTGATGTTAACTTTCTTGTTAACTTGCACGCTTTCTCGCTTCCTGCACACTCCGTCGATCACGTCGCTTGGGCTCGGTGTGGGGATGGGTGGGGTGATGTTAACGTTCGTGTAAGGTCTTTGGCAGTGGACTTACAGCTGGCAATACAGATACAATTACAACAATGGCAAAGACCTTTGGACAGCTGTGCCACATGTCTTGGAGCACATCCGAGAAAAAGAGCCCGCGTCTTTACGGGCAGCGAAAAAACCCTGTTTTTGTATGACACCGTGGGCATCTTTGCCGATCCCCAGGCCCGAGATTTGTGACCATAAAGTGAGAAAGGGACAGGAGGCGGAAGAAGATGTCTCAGTGTCCTGGCTCAGGAGTTTGATGCCATGGGATTATAATGATGGGGATTATAATGATTATTGATGGTTAATTATTAATGGCTACATAATAACATCTAATAATCTAATAACAATGTAGTGGTTCACAACTCATATTTCTTGATAATGGCTATCGATGATAGACATTATTGTTAATGATTAATGGTGATGAATGGAAATAGCCTCCAGTGACATCCATGGCGGGCCTTTTTTGTTTTTTTTTGTGTTCTCCCATGTGCCATCCCTGGCAATCCCTGGTGCAGGGGTTCAATATCTTGGCTCGTGGGAGTTCATGACAGTGGCCATTGTAAACTCAATGAAATCTTCAGTGGGAAAATCATGGAAAATCATCCATAAATGGATGTCAATGGGGGGTTGCAAGGCTAGATAGCACACCCCCGTTCTTCAGAACTGCTAGGGAATATAGATGACAATTGGAGAGGCTGTTGCCATTGACTGGTTTTTGTGTCTACCCGTATTTGACACAATGTAACGGGTAACACGACCCCTGAAGAGCTTGAAATGGTTGGGCGAACTTGGGCTGTTTTGATGTGAGAGTATACCACATTGTAAATGCTGCATTAGGGGTATGTACTTGTGAAATGGGCAAGCAACCACTTATTGGGAGCGGGGCCGATCAGGAAGTAGCGGCGTTTTAGAAGCTGGAAAATCATAGTCGAAATGCCCTTCTTTAGTCCTTCCTGGCCTGGACACACAAGTCCCGGTCAGTTTTTTCCATGTTGTGCATGTCAACATGGGGATGGTTCACCTGTTCACCACATCCAGTTGTATGAATGAGTGGTGTGAATTAGATTTGATATCCATTGATATACCATGATACACATATGCAACCCGAGTGATTTGCAGTACATTTTTCCAATTATATAGAGGTCATTGCCCAGATATCCATCCCATAAACCGAGCTATATATGGGTTAGTATTTTTTTTCCCGTGGTCCTAGATATGTATTGGTGGAAGGTGGCGCTCTTGCGAAGCATACCCCCGAAGCACACCCCGAAGCATAGCCCCGAAGCATACCCCGAAGCAAACCTCCAAAATGAAGATCATTTTTGAGGGCTTGTTGATGGTTGTTGTTTGGAGATCATGGGTCGCGACACTTGCTTCATGCTGCCTTTAGGCGCCCTTTGCGCCATCCCGCCCTCCATCCCCGCAGTCTGGCTGCCATGTGCACACAAGTAGGTTGAAGACAGCTTCGGTGCTGACTGGCCGCTGTAGCTTCATTGTGGCAGCCGATACCGTTTGCATCGACCAGCTTCTGGTGCTGACTGGCCGTTGTAGCTCCTGTCTAGATCTGATACGGTGTGCTGAATAGTGCTCCGCGAATCATACCCGAATCATACCCGAATCACACCCGTTTCATACCTCGAACCTTCAACTTCCAGACCCTGGCACATTTTGAACGCGTGAGTAAGATACTTCACATCTCTGCATAAACGTGAAAATAAGACATCCTTGCCCATACCGCCATGGCACCAAAGCTTTGGCTTGAACCAACCACCTGCTGTCACCTGCGCTTGGGAAAGCCAGACTCTGGCCCTTGGCAGTTGATTTAGACCAGAAAACCATACGTGTCTCTCTCTCTCTATATATGTATATATATATATGTGTGTGCAAGGATATACACAGAGATATATAGAAGGTTGGAAAGTTTGTTGGAAGCCTCTTAGATATGAAGTAAGTTCCATGTGATGAAGTTCATGCGAAGCAGACCCCGAAGCATACCCCCGAAGCAAACCCCGAAGCATACCTCCGAAGCATACCCCCTAGACAAACCTTCCAGTGGGGATACGGTATTTCCAGAGAACCCATATGTGAGATTCATCTCACCGACTGTATATATTGCACACACACACACACCTTTACATTCACATTTTCCTACCTACCTACCTGCATGTATGCAACGTAATGTACTGTAATGTAACGCAATGCAATGTAATGCAATGACAAGTACTGCAATGTAATGTGATGTAATGCGATGTAATTTGGTAATGTAAAGCAACCAGTCTAGTCTGATTAGTATTATATTGTTTTCTGTTTGTTGCTTGCATGTACATATACATACATACAGGTACATACACATACATACATGCATGCATGCATCCATCCATCCATACATACATCCATCCATCCATCCATACATACATATATACATACGTACATACATGTACATACCTGTACATACATGTACATACACGTACACACATGTACATACATGTACATACATGTACATATACGTACATACACGTACATACACGTACATACACGGACATACACGCACATACACGTACATACACACACATACACACACATACACATACATACACATACACACACATACACATACATACACACACATACACATACATACACATACATACACATACACATACATACACATACATACACATACATACACATACATACACATACATACACATACAAACACATACATACACATACATACACATACATACACATACATACTCATACATACACATACATACACACACACACATACATACATACATACATACATATATACATACATACATACATACATACACACATACATACATACATACATACATACACATTTTTACATAGCACATACGCATGCATACACATTTGGCTACGAGTCAAAATGTAAAGCTCCGGGCCCCGATCCATACCCTGAACCCACAGGCCGATCCATACCCCCGATCCATACCAAAACCCAAGTGATCCAGACCGATCCATACGTCTGGATCACCGCGGGCCGATCCACACCCGAATTTTGACGCAACTCCATATACACATACACAGATACGGATGTACATGTATATGTAAACAGCATTAAACAACATCCTTTAGTTAAAATATAGATAGGTATGACACAAACGCAGACATATATAGATATGTATATATATATATATATGTCATTTGCACTCAGCAGCATGCAAGTGAGTCCTAGCGCCGTCTTGCAAACCCTGCGCACCATACACGCTGGATAAAGCATATATATATATATATATATCTAGATTGTCAAAGTATCACACATGATGTAGACATAAATTATAGGCTATATTACCCACTTGGAAAGTTGAATGTGTTGTACATATATGCACATGGGTATAATATATGCTATGGTTTGTTTTAGGTTAAGGAGAAGATCCAAAGTATATATATATATATACCTCTCTCTCTCTCTGTGTGCATGTGTGAATATATCTTTATATATACACACAAATGAATATATGACCGTCAAAAAAAAGGTGTCTCCAGACCACGCCCAGGTGGTGGCCTCCTTGGACGCCGTCGCCAGCCCTGGGGATTGTTTGGCGAAGATCGAGGCCGAACCCAGCCCTTCCAATAGCAGCTGCTCGGCGTCTGGGGAAGGCGACTGGATGGGACGTTTTTTTTTTTCCGGTTGATGATGTCATTTTAGTAATATGTAATCGGAGGTTTGACCATCAACATGTGGGGGATACAGTCATTTGTGAACATTTAAATCACGAACATATTAGTTTTAAACTATCAAAGTGTCACTTAATTATTTTTTAAGGTGTTAATCCTCAAAATATGGGGATGTAAAGTGGATAAAACTGATTATTGATGCTTGATAAGTACATAACCATTCGTGATAGGTATAACCATTGCAATTACATGGGCATAATGATATAAGTGATTCATGATGGTTAATTGATGATTAGTTTGGATGTTTATACTATCCAATCCTCTTTTTTAAGTGGTGGAATCTCAAAAAAAAACATTTTTTTTTGGTGCAATCGCTATTTATCCAGATCAAATTGATTGAACCGTATTAAACCCCAGGAAATCCCATATTTTCAGTGGTAAAATCCCATGGAAATCCCCATATGTTGCTTGGTTGAATCCTAATCGCAAAGTCCTCCTGACATCTCCGATTCCAGATATTCCAGGGCTGGATGGTGCCTCCCACGAATTGAATCCCATGTAAAAGTGTGGATATTCGAGAGAGAGAGAGATATATATATATACATATATATACATATATATACATATATTTATGTACATATGCAAATATACATATAACCGTTTGTGCTTGACCCATTTACTAAGCGGGATATAGCATGATATAGCGGGATGCACCCCCAAGTACATATAATCAACATGTGCTTGATTAGTCATGTTAGTTAACTATAACATACTATAACTAACTAGTGAAATGTTCGGACTATAATGATATTGTATATTATTCATAATTCATTCAACACATCATTACAAAGACACATGAAAACATGCACGTATAAGAATATGGTGTGTTTGACTGTGTTTGATTGGTTAAGTATCATTGATATTCATTGATTAGTTTCTGAGTTGAAGAATGTTGTATTATTAGCGACCGTTTGTGGTTGAGTAATAGTTATTAAACTCATACAATCAGATTTAACGATATTATGTTCAATCGATAATATTGATCATACTTGGGAAGCATAGTGTTATTATTCACTATTTACCGGTATACTATTCCTTTCATATCATTACTACGGTTACATTTCTTCTTGGTAGCATTAAATTATTTGAACCAATCGTTAGCTGGTGGTTTTGGTTGCTGCTTCGGAATCCTAAGATTCCCAAGGTGATAGTAGCCTTAGGGGCCGGGAGGAATCCGAACCGCCCAAAGCACCAGCTATCAGTTGGTTAGAACAAAGGGTGCTAACAAGATAACATTGAAAATTACACCCTCCCGAGATCACATGGCAAGCTTGAAACTCCACGCATTAAATGAAGGTTTACAGCTGGGAAAATTACCTTTGTTGGATTTCCCAGCAAGCCACGTTTGAGTACCAGAAGGGAATAGTCCAAATCTTATCAGTAATTCATATTACGACGTACGGCGCGCCTTTAATCCGACCCCATTTCGTTGTACATATTTAATCTGGATTCTTGATTGGATCGGGTGTCCCTTTTGTTGCCCGGATTCATGGAATGATAAAATCAAATACTGATTGGTAGTAGTGCTAATCATTTTGTTATTATAATCACACCATGATCACTGGTGCTTCCCAAAAAAAGGTTCTATGATGGTAATACTAGTATTTATATCAATAGGAATGATGTACTAATCCCAACCAGCAATCAATAAGAAGTATCAATAATCAATCTGATATTACTTTGACTGGGGTGGTGTTAGCATAGTCAAATAGTACTTTTTGTTTCTTTGAAGTTGTGATCTTGAACCCAAAAGAATCGGCCATAATCACATGATTTATAGCGATTATCCATATAATCCATTATCAATGTAATCCCAAAACCCAAAAGCCTATGACCCATGGCAATTTTTCAATTCGTGGGATATTACTGTTTACTATAATAATCCATCAATAATAATGGATCATACTGAATGGTATCATATCTTGATAGGATGACAAGTCATTTGACCCAATGTGGGAGGAACCATCAACCGAGTATGATGTAATAAGGAAGACCTGGTCACCCAGCAGCAGGAATTATCAGTCACTGTTGTTACAAGAATCCGTTCCCATTTCTGGTGCCCATCAATCTGAATTGCAACCAGTTTAATGATGAATTGTTCAATCATAATTTGCTCAATCAATGTGTAAATATATGTTATATAATTAATACTATGAAATTATGAATGAACAGTTCATAATTAGTTCAAATGATTTGGTAAATCACCTGTTCAATACAAGATGATTTGCTGAACATCATAATGTGACCAATATTTTTTGTAAGGCTGTACTTAAGCAAATCACCTCACAGCATATGGGGGTCCGTAGCCCCCCTCCCGTGTGAGGTCCTGAGCGCTCAGGACCTTGTACCACCTCGAGGTGACTATCTTAACTACAGATGAAAAAAAATCCAACTAGGGGGTTACAAGGTCAAACGGCCTGCCCCAATCTACGCTGGGGTGAGGAGGTACAAGGTCCTGAGCGCTCAGGACCTCACAGGGGATGGGGGTTGGTAGCCCCCCTCCTGTACAAGGTGATTTGCTTAAGTACAGGTGGAAAATTAAAAATATTCAGGATGGGAATTCGCTGCGAATTCGTTCGGTTTCCTTTTCAGTAGTAGGCTTGTACCACGTACCCATTTGAAACTTCGGGGTCATCTCCGCACAAACAGAATCAGCAGCCAGCATTCCTTTCCCCAAATCCCAAGGTTCGCTCAGTGGGCAATCACCACTGCTAAGGCTAATCAAATGTAGGTCAAAGCTAATCTCATTGCTGCTCCCCACCCTCTTCCTGGATCTTCTCTTCTGCCAAAACCATTTCCTCTTCAAGCTGAATATCGCTCACAAAAAGATCATCGCAATCACAATCGTTTGAGATGCAGTTCAATGCTGATCTGTCTCGCCTCATGTAAAGGCAAGTCATGGCATATACTTAAAATGATTGGTGATTCAACATAATATAATCAGAACTAAATAATGACTAAGCCAATTCAAAGTTACCGATTCAGAAACTTCTTCCAGTAGCACAGGTAATGGAACCGAACTTCCTCTTTGTTGATGCTAGCATGGAAGGCTCAAAAATTGCATAATACTATTTGACTATCTTAACTGCAGGCCAGTTGATATCATACTTAATGTTTATTGTGATTTACCCTTTGGTAAATAAATATAGACCCTGAAAATCACATTTTTTTAATGGAAAGTAGTCTTCCAACCCCTATCTGGCAGGGTCTATGTTAATTTACCAGAGGGTAACAGTAAGAAAAAATAACTATCACAGTTCGTAGACATACTTTTTGTCATCATCGTTGCCATTACCCTACCGAAAAAGACAAAAGCAATCACAATTTCTCCATGGCTATCCACATCAAACCCATTAGTTTGCAGACCTGGAAGGAAACAAACATGGTACGCACAAACTTCTTCAGAAAATTGCAAGTTTAGAATTACCTACTCTCCAGTAATTTAACATAGACCCTGCCAGATAGGGGTTGGAAGATTATTCGTGCCACTAGAAAATGGTGACTTTCTGTGTCCATATTTTTTTAAATAGATATATCGGATATTTGACATAACATATAGGTTGGGATTAAGAAATCTAAGTTTCATTGAGTCACAGTCTCACACTTTCCTCGACTCGAGGCGATTTCCACTCGGCGACTTGTAGCAGCCCAGTTGACAACAGCGCCGCTGGGAGAAACTACGGGCTGGTTCACGCGGAGGTGGATTTGATGGGATCAACACAGGAATATGGAAAAATCAGGATCAAAATTAGTAGGGATATAACATAATGGAATATACTATAAACCACTAGCGATGGTTAATGGATAGTGTTTGTTGGGGAAAATGCTGGACCAATGGGATATTAATAGATAAACTCCACTGTTCATGGGTTTATCACAAGGTTTATCGTGCTGAAGCCGCGGTGATCAACATGTTGTTCGGGGGCATATTACCTTTTAATATATTGGGGAAATCCGTTCCAAACCAATCAGGATTCAATGAGCTCACATTAGCAAGGACCACAATCATGGAGAATCCTGTGCGATGAATTTATTGAATAAGGATTTGACAAATATTTTTATAAGTGAAGGAAATCTAACCACCAGCCAGCCAGTACATGGGTGCCCCTAATTTTGTCCGGAGAACCCCATATTTGACGGTTTACATATCATCGTTGTCCTTTCTAATTGCAAGTTTGGGCTATGTTGCGGTACGCAGCTTATTTTCAGAAATCGACATATGGCTGGAAGACCCCCTAGAAAGATTAGAATGTGTCTGAAAATTACGCGCAATTTATGCTTTAATTTCATGAGGAAAATGCTGTTTTCAACCATGAATCGACGAACATATGTGTTGATTTTCTGAAATTGTGAGGCTGACGCTAGCCCGTGTAGATTAAAAAATCACACGGTTGTCGATAACATGGAATCCCCCAAAAACTGGTCGTTTAACATGGGCTCGTTTGGAAAATTCCTTCAGCAGCTGTTTATGCCATTGCTGATGACGTTGTAACGGTTAATAGAAAAATATTACTCGGAACAACACATAATCAGAAGATACTATTACATGCAAACATGACATAAATGATCGTCACAATGATTGCCACAATGAACCATAGCAGGCATAATATCAACAACAGTCATGCTAATATCAACAGTGATCATCACAATACACACACATTATATTGGACGTTTCCTAAAATGAAGCTACCCCTAAATCATCCATGTTTATAGCATTTTCCCATAAAAACCACCCATTTTGGGGCATTCCCATTTATGGAAACCCATGACTATGTATATCCAATGTATCAATGTATTATCCAAACGCTTGGACAGTACTTCTCCATGCAGGCTCTCCTGCCATTTCTTCATTGTATTATTATGCGTTCACACTACCCAGACCCTCGAAGCACCCATACAAATGGGTTAACATAGCCATTATTTTGGGACTTTAACTCATATTTTTGGTACTTAGAAGGTCTAGGTAGTGATTTATCAATTATCATCTCCCCATGATATTCCACTAAGACCCAGTCAAAATTCCATATTCATCCCATGAAATTCCATTAAATCACCAATAAGGAAACTTTTAAATCCCATAAAAACAGCATCAAATTACCATTTGTTTATATAAATCCTATGAAAACACCATTAAATCACATTTTTTCCACATTTCCTCAATGCCCTTTTTCCATGACGTTCAAACCGCGAAAAAGCCGCGTCGGTTCCGCGTGGTTTGCGGAACGAGGTTGTAATACAAGTGGCTGTCTCAGCGATTTCGGAGCCTTGGGTTCGGAGGTGTTGTAGGGGATGGTACATGGGGTTAATAACAGCTAATTATGTGCCATAGTCACAATTACAGTAATGGTTAATTTAATAACCATTACTATATTAGCTGTTAATAGAATTAACAATAGTCATGGTTCTAATGACAGCAATGAATTGTTAATATATAGTAATGGTTATTAATAGAATTGTCAATAATGATAACCAGGGTTCAACATGATTAATGACAATCATGTTTAACTATATGGGAATTATACGGGAATGGGATAAACAATTTGATTTAATGAGGGATGCAATATGGTTTATAACTCCAATAACAATGTTTAATGTTTCACCCGCAAACATTGTGATTTAATGAGAAGTATTTTCGCAAACATGCGAGAAGATACCAGAAAAAACATGCCAACTGCCATTGGGGTCTACTGATGATTCTGACGACGTAATTTTGACTTGAAGTTTGTCATCGTTATCCCTGTGACCTTCTGAGCTACTTTATATCACTATACTCATTTGTTTCAATCTTTGTACAATACAGAGAGAGAGAGAGAGATGCGCCAAGTTGCCCTTGGGCAGGGCGCAGGACATCAAAGTGAAAGTGACAAGTATGGTAGCTAAGTTGGTGCTAATAACTCCAATTTTGCTATGGCTTATCATACGCAAAAAACTATAGTTTTTTTTTGGGGGGGGTTTTGAAACACACTTGCCGTCTAGGGGGTCCCACATTGCAAATGAACATCACCCAACTAATTTGGGTATAATCTCCAACAAATACTCCCAACTGCCCAAGTCGTGGCGAAATCCCAAAAATCTTGAAATTAGCTTGGGGGAAGGCTTTTGTGGAAGTCGTGGCGATGCGGCGTTTAGCTTGTGTTTAGGGTAGGTTGCTGTTTTACTATCTCATGTAGACCTAAAGTGGCGAAGCGGCGTTTAGGTTGTGTTTGGGGTAGGGCGTTGTTTTACTATTAGCATAGTGCTTTAATCTTGCTAGTTGCGTTCTCATTGTGTTTGGGATGGTTGCTGTTGGGTTCTGCAGCTACTGGGGTCTTGCTGTTGCTGCGGCTGCTGGTTCGACGGCTGCTGCTGTTGCTGTTTCCGGGTACTTCTACACAACGCTGGGATTATCATCTCTACACTGCTATGTCGGTGTGCTGGGATTCTGCATATTGTCATTGTTTCGCTACCAGTGATCCAAGGAAGGGCAGGTTTGCGGCTTGCGGGCCAAAGTCCATGTGTGTAGATGCGGGCTTTTTCCGTACCTCGTTTTGACCTCGTTTCAGACCTCGTTTTTTTCCTTTATCAGAACCCATCCTGCAGTATACAAACTAGGAAAAGGGCCTGCTTCGCGTTTTCGTTTGTGGGCGTCAACAGTGCCCACGAAAAAAGGCCCGTTGGAAACCGGCGTTCCGATGGGATTCGATCAAAACGAATAGAACCATGATAGTTTGGTCAAGGCTTGTTAAAGCTAGCGTTTCCAATGGGGAAAGGGGTTTTGCAAGGTCTGTGCCGGGACAGGGGTCGTGGCGAGCGTTTTGATTGGGAATAGCTGTCAAACGCAAACATTGCAAGGACTTTGGCGTATGGGTGTACTTGTTTTGGTGATGTTCAAACTCGCCAAAAAGCGACAGTTACTAGCCCCTATGTTGCGCATGTCAAGCCCCATTATAAAACTTATATCATATATGAATAGAGGTGTCAACATAGGTTGTACTTATCCTTATTTGCATTTTCTATATTCTGTTAATATGTAGGAACCCCTTTGATATAGATAAAACTATTGTTGGGATGACGATAACGGGATATTAATGGGATGATCATGAATTAGATATTCTGGTGACCGTAGGATAATTATTACTGAGATATTCTTGTGAAGCGGAGCGTTGCACTATCACTACATAAATATATGGGGATGGTAGTCACCAGTACATTAATCTGAATGAATCAAATGTCGTGACCACGTCGTGACGGCACTGGATTGATGGTGAATGTAAGGGGGATCAGCAATCCAAATTACCATTATTTAACAGCTGTTTTCATGTTAGTGAATGTAAACTAACAAAACTATGGAAAATCATCATTTTTAATGGGAAAATCCACTATGAATGGCAATTTTCAATAGTTATGTTAGTTTACCGGAGGGTATTGAACTTAAACTATTGTAATTCGGCATTTGATGAGATAGTACTGATATATGATATATTAATTACTGAGAAATATTGGTGATGACTTTGAAACGAACCGGCAGACGGGAGCAAAAATAATCAATAATCTGATATGTGAATATATGTGATGGTTGATGAATGGGGGGATCCGGGTAATTTTTTTAGCTACGCCATAGATGATGGAATTGGATTTGGAAAACGATCCCCCAAATAGCCGAAGAAACGTGGTTCAGGACATGTTGCTCCGGGGTACCCCTGGGATCATCAATGAAAATTCGAGAATTTCTGTGTGATTCAACCAGTGGACATCATGTTTCGTGATTGAAACAATGGAAACATGGAACATGAGGATCTAACCATCAATTAATCAGGCATGATTTTCTGTCATTACGGAATATGGGTTCTTAACCAGCAAAAAAAATGGGCATGACTGTTGGTCCAGTTTTTTTTGGTGAAATCGTGGGTTATTTGGCCATCCACCTGGAGATGGGGATGGTGAACCAACCAACTGATCTAATCTTTGAATATACCCCCTGGTGATTTAACGTAGCTATAGAAAATCACCATTTTTAATAGGTAAACCATCTATAAATAGGCCATTTTCCATGGCTATGTTAAATAACCAGAGGGTACTTGTTCCTTTGAAACAATTTGGTTGAAATACTTGAGGCAACCCTTTTGCAGTCACTGGACAGTAAGCAAATTCGCTCAAACCTGTCGGGATTTTCGCCAGTTGCAAAGCAAATAGGGTTGACATATGACATTCAGCTTCTAACTTCAGACAGCACTCTGGGGCACTTGTGCCTCTAATTCAGTATAGCTGGGGAATCCAAACTCAAATGGGACCTGAGCTTGACCTGAAGCCCTTGAAGGTATTTTGAAGGTCATTTTGGCTACCATTCATGGTTCAGAGTTGGAACTCTCATTGCTACCCATTGCCAAGGACTTGAATGTGCGCTCCGTGAACAGCAAGGTGGGGAACTTATGTACCATCTCGTGAGCGTGGGTCCAAATTTAAGACCCGACCCAGGGGTTACAGAAAGACTGCTCATTGATGAGTCTTGAAACATGCTTTAGCATTTTTTAGCTTTTTGTTCCTCTACTTGCAGTGCAATGCTGACCGATCCCGATATTTGGGGGTCAGTTGTACCTGTCCGAGTTGGTTGGGAGGACGAGGCACCACTACGCGGAAGCGGGTGAATTATGGTAAACATACCATGAATTTTGAATTTGCCATTTCTGACTGAAGTGATGCGGTAATGTCTCGATTCGCCCTAGAAAGCGAGTTTGAACCCGCCTCAACATGCTATTATAACCGGAAATCTTGGGGTGTAGCCACAATTTCCTGGATCCTCTATGGAATCAATGAAAATAATTAGAAATGTGAGGGCTTTGAACGGCGTGAACACACTGTTCACATCCCAAGTCGGAACTTGGAGGATCTGATCTGTTAGCCCAGGTGACAAAGAGGAGCCGCTTGGAAAAGACCCTCCATTTGCACTTGGACTCTTGGCGATTTGTCGTTGATCTCTGAAGGGAACACTGACTGTAAATCCCAATAATAAATAAATACATATATATATGTATATATATATATAATATGTATATGTGTGTGTTACATATATATATATATTGGATTATAATAGCAGAATTGGTTATATATATATATATATATTATCAATCGAAGGAAGTTTAGAAGTCAAACTTCCGACAATATGGACAGATGAAAAGCAGAGATGGGAAGAGTCAGAGAGAAGAGAAGAGTAGAAGAGAGAAGAGAAGAAGAGAGAAGACCAGAGAAGAGAAAGAGTCAGAAGAAAGAAGATGCAGGTGCGCGAAAAGGTAGGAAGTCGCGAAAAACTTTGTTTTTCCAATGGTTTGTGGCTCCGGAGGGTCGAAAAGTATGCTCGTTAAAGCGGCGGGTGCGGAGCCATCTGGCCAGATGAGAGATGAAAAATTGCACGCCGTTGTGGCGCGAAGCACATTTCCAAGTCAAAATGTACAAAACACCACATGCTGGGACCACTTTGAGATGTCGAAAAAGTGCACGCCGTTGTGGCGCGAAGCACATTTGCAAGTGAAAAAGCTAAAAGCACCGCACGTTCGGACCACTTTTGGAAGTTGCGATGTCAGAAAAAGTGCACGCCGTTGTGGCGCGAAGCACATTTCGAAGTCAAAATGTTAAAAGCACCACATGTTCGCGCCACTTTTGGACGTTCAGGTGCCGTTTTGCGTGGCAGGCGCAAGGGATTGTGCACCTTGTCAAAAGTGAGCAAAACGTGAGGGTTTTGTCGCATTTCCAAAAACGATGGCAGCTGTGGGACACTTGAAGAGGATCTGCAAAGATGCATTTTCCGTGGCAGGCGCAGTACAAGAGACATGTTCATCAGAGCTGTTAGGAGGTCCGGGCGCTGATTTCCTGAGAGCGGTTGCATTTTGAAGCCTCAGATCTTCAGGTTTGCTGAGATGATTTTGCGTGACAGGTGCAGCACTTCGTATGACCTGGCATCACTTTTTCGTGGCAAGCGCAGTAGTTTAGACAAATGGATTGGAACAAACGCAAAACGCATTGGCACGAGGCCGTCAGCGCAGCACGCAACTTTCCATTTTTGAAGGAAGGCTCGCAGAATTGCTTCGTTTTTGATGTTGTCAACTTTGAAAAATGAAGAAGTCTCGCAGAATTGCTTTGTTTTTGACATTGTCAAGTTCAAAAACTGAGGAAGTCTCGCAGAATTGCCGCGTTTTTGATGTTGTCAAGTTCAAAAACCGAGGCAGTCTCGCAGAATTGCTGCGTTTTTGATGTTGTCAAGTTCAAAACCGAGGAAGTCTCGCAGAATATCTTCGCTTTCAAGCTTGCAGATAGACAGATAGATAGACAGACAGACAGACAGAGAGAGAGAGAGAGATAGATAGATAGATAGGTAGGTAGATCGATAGATAGATAGGTAGATAGATAGATAGATAGATAAATAAATAGATAGATATAGATACATTGATAGATAGGTAGGTAGGTGTGTAGATAGTCAGAGAAAGAGAAAGAACGAGAGAGAAAGAGAGGAGACCTCAACCACCTGTCGGTCCATCAGTGGCTTCGCTCTGTCATCCGTGACTCACAACAACCAACCTCTCCTATAGGTTTCCTATTTTTGAAACTTCCGCCACCGCCTTGTGCATCACTACTGGTATAGTGTAATGTCCCTATATGGGGGTTTCCATAAATGGGGATACCCCAATAGCTGGATGGTTTATTTCATGGAAAAACAATATAAATGGATGATTTGGGGGTACAGTACACCTATTCCAGGAAACCTCCATATAAGCTTGGGGTGAAGAACCGGGCAAATGTTCCCTCTTAAAATCTGGCTGGGCATGAGTTTCTTGAAACAGCGATTCCACGGTGATCTACTAGTAAGTTTTGATCCAGGTATGAGTTAGGCATGAGTTTATCGTTTGACTGTAGGGACTTGGGTTTTGGGGGGGTATCCATTTTTGGACAAAACCAGCAAGTTCTGAATCCTGGGGTCCTTGAATCCACCGCAATGATCTTGGCCCAAAACCGGAATGACATTGTCTGCAAGATGTGTCCACATGTCTATCGGGCTGGGGTTGGGTCATACACATCATATATAGGTATATATTATATGTATTTAGTGATGTATATGCTGTTTGTATATTTTTTGTTTAACTATTAAGCATTTGTATAACCATTCCAAAATTTGTATAAGATGTGTGCCCACTTCAAACTGTCGCAGCCCCTTCAACGGATCCTTCGGGGAGATACCTTCCATAGTTTGCAGTTGGTTACACCCCTTTTTGTTGGACACAGGTTTGGTTCCCATTAAAACATGGTTCAATGGTAAAACCACATTTTCACACAAGGGATCACAAGGGAATGTGTCTAAATGGTTGGATGCATGGCAAAATCTTAATGGGAAGCCATGGTTTTTACACCCAAAATATGGTGTGTTGTTCAACGAATTCTGTCCCCAATCGTCCGGATGGTTTTGGACAGGCTCAACAGGTCGGTCCTGTTGAGGACCTTGGAAATCTTGAAGCAGGGTCGTAAATTGATGTAAATTGCATGGATTTACCAGAGGAAAATCCCCGTCATCCCATGGATTATGGATTTTCCATGAATTTATCCCAGTAAAACCTCCATGTATAGATGATTTTCCCATTAATTCAAACTTAAAACCTTCATTTCCAGAGGGATTTTTCATTGCCACGGTTGCCACGTTTGATAACACCAGAGGGTCGGAAATACACTGCTCCCCTTGTGTCAGGACATCGACATCCTCCGTGCGGTGCCCTTGCGCTCTGCCATGTGTGACTTTGGGGCGATGTGGCGCATGAACCCGCACCGCTGCACGGCGGCGGAGCAGCTTGGACCAGTTCTTGCTGCAATTGAAAAAGCGGAAAACTGCGGGTTTTCGCAGCGAACAAATATAGGTTAAACATGCTTTCCCCAGCAAACCTTGCGGTTTAACCAGCAAAACGGGTTGTTTTTCCAACAGGATTGCAAGAAGAATCGAGGTTCAACCAGTAGAAATGAAGATCGTAATGGAGATATGCAAGGAGGGTTAAAGATGGACAATTGGGTATCCATGTCATCTATATGGTGCAATTTTCTCTTTCCTGACAATGATCAACCCCAACAACTGGGAATGATAAACCTTCAAATTCTGAAGTACCGCAATTTAGGAACCCCACATCATGTGATATGATTGTAGTATAGTTAAATGATATGTGATGATTGGGTTTGGCTAAGGATATGAAATGAATGCCCCAATTTTGTCTTGATACCAATAGGGAACGTAGGCAAGAATTCCGAGATTTTTTGGGTTTTCCCAACATGTTGTTCGGACCACATTTCTGAAGTTCCCTGGGTTTTCAGCAGAGGCCCTTCCACAGGAATCCAACTCAGAGCGGTTCCACGGATGTTTGGAGGTTACATCCACGGGTTTCCTGCAAAGTTGCATTCAATCAAGCCATTGATAAATATACTATAGCTTTTGGCAGTATATGCACAACGATACACAAAGCTCTTAAACTCATTGTTGATGATTGCCAATATGTTGTAGCCGTTGAACGTGGAAGGACAACATGAAGACATTACAAGTGACTATATGGTCACGTAGTTGGCGGGCTAGCCCACAGTGTCAGACTTTTTGCCATACTAACGATGTGCATTGATTGAGTCAACATAGATGGGAAATCAAAGTCTAACATGTTGGATTCATTCATATAGCTGGTATGGAAGTTCATTGCTAGATCATGGGGGTTACGACCAGGAATTCGCCATTTGCCCGGAATGCAATTTCACGACGTAGGAAGAGCTAAAACCGTGCAAACTTCTGTGCAAAATCACTGCAGCAACTTTTGTCGGAGATAGAAAACGGCTTTGGATTTGTGACCTGTAAGGGTGTTCGAAAACTCGTTTGCAAAAACCCCTGTTTGAGCTGTTTTCAAGCATCTTCGGTTTCCTCCAAATAGAACAATGGCATGACACACTCAGGCTTATATGCATGTAGAAGTTGAACGGGGGTGAGGGAATTAAACCCTCATTGAAGATCTTCAATGAGTGTAGAAGTTTAACGGGGTGGGGGAATAAAACCCTTACTGAAGATTTTCAATGAGTGTAGAAGTTTAACGTGGGACCATGGGTAAGTTGGGACAGTTTAGAGTTTGGGCGAACGGCGCCTGATCCAGAAGTCAATGGATAGATAATGGGGGGTTACCCTAGGGCCCTAGGGAAATAGATGTGGAGAACCAATGACTTAGGAAAATGATCCGCCAATGGTGGGCATACGGTATTCCAGATCAAAACCAGCGCAGTCTCACTAGCATGGCAGGCCGCTGGACAATCCTCTATATAAAAAAGGGATCGTCATAGGAAAATCAAGGGAAACATCCCCATTATGTAATGGACAACCACCCATGTACCCATGGAAAACATGTGATTTAAGGGTGGTGTTTTTTTTGAAGCTTCACATTGGAAAATCATGTTCTCTACATGTAGGATTTTCCAGCAAGCCGGGTGGTCCCCTTGGAGATAATTCGTACCACCCACTGGTGGCGAATAACTGGGATGGTTTATGGCATCCGGTAAACACCACATGTCGTGGTCTTCGGATGTTGAAGATTATCAACCCAAACTGTTTGGTCAACTGGACGATGATCGGTAGGTTTTTAATCAAACATTTGAAGATTATTTTGTTGATGCGAAACTCGACCAACTATATATAGCTAGAACTCATACTTAGCATTCGTGCTTTCCGTTTTTTTGGCAATGGATTTTCACCCAGTTTGTTTAAACTCTCATTAGAAACTCTGCCACTTGATATAAACTCACTTCCTTTTGAAACATGGGGAGATTCTGAATCGCCAGGCCCTCTGGCCCGCCCGAGGTTGCAGAAAGTTTATGAGAAATCTCGTAGTTCTTCCTACTACGACCTTTTCCTGTCTCACACCTGGTTGACTCCAGGACAATGGTGCTGGAATGCTTGGGATGGGGTAGGCCACTTGAAGAGCTATCGATCGAACATAAGTCACATGGTGATTCTGGTGTAGGCAGTCTTTTGTTGCTGGGTACCGTGGGTGAATCCCCACAGAAAAACATGATCGTTGTTGAGCCCTTCGGTAGTCAGCTTAACTTCCCCCAACACTCATATCAACAGTTCAATGGTACTAGACTAGCGGATGCTCGAGAATAAACACTGCAGATGCTCCAACCTAGAAACTTGAACATGGATTTGGAATTAGATCATTGTATTGGCGCATTAGCGTATCGTGGAGTCAGAGGATGTAGGTTTTAATTGTCTAAACGTGAACGTGTATTTTTTGCGTATGTAATTTCTCCCATGTTTTCCCCCAGCCATCTCCAGCCCTTAATTGAGGCCTGTGTCTTTTCTGTGTTTTTCAGCTTCCAGGATGGCAGAAATTTGGCTCCATGTTGTTGCGGCATCACTGGCCTCAGATGTTGCTGGGCTGGTTTGCTGGAACCAGCCTGGCGGTGGTTCTGGTGCTCTCTGGCTCCCTGCACCTCAACCTCTTTCAAAGAAGCTTGGCGTTTCCGGGGCGGTCTTGACTGGCTGAGATCTTTGTTTGGGGCGTCGCCATCATAGTAGAACAGTTAGGAAACCTCGGAGCGTCCTATCAAAATTATCATCCTGCCTCACCACTAATTTGTAGGAAAGGAATGATCATAAAAAACGCCATGCGACATAAACGACCACTAGTTTGAAGGATACTTCAATGATTTTAGTGGGACGCTTGTGGCAGCTCTTGATGAGTTTCAGATCTATTGGGCATGTCAATCACGCCGTCCGTGTAGGCACACAGAGTGGGTCCGGCATCCAGTTGCAGTGGTAACAACTGGGCGCAACTGGATACAACTGCTAGGCTCTGGAATTTGAAGCCAAAGCACGTAAGAATGCAAACCGGTAATGAGAATACACAATCCACTGTGCAGTCCCTTAAACATCCTGAAGCCATTTCATGGAAATGCTGGTTGGAAAAAATCTTCCATGTCGCAGCCATATCAATCAATCCACAATGACAATTCTTGATGATTACCTTACCCATTTTCCATTTTCCATGGTCCCCCCATTCAAATTCCCGTGCCCCCTTTTTTTCTCAGAACTGGTTTGTAAACATCAGGCATAGACTGGAAAAGATCGGTTCTCCTGTTAAGTAAGATATGGGGTCTTTCCGGTTTCAAGTGTCCATAATTGTCATTATATATATATATATATGTTTTTTTTTTATATATATATATATATGTATTTTTTTCTTGAAACCAATCCCAAAAACATCCAAAAAACAGGCATCGACTTTGATCTAGACTATGAGGGCATCGAGTTTGCCCCCTACAGCACCACGTGCCATGGCGATCAAGGTTGGGTGACTATAGCTGTAGGTAGACGGGTTGGGCACATATTATACGTGTCTTTGAACATAAGTTTATATATTTACGTATATGATTGTCGATCTAAAGCCTTTGTTCCAACATGAGGAGTGTTTTTATATTTGTAGACTATATGTATATATTATATATATATATATACATTTACAGGTATGTACGCACATATCTACATAGTTACACGCACACACACATATGTATGTGTATATATATATATATATTTTTATACTTTATATAGGGAAACGGAAGGATCATTTCCCATTGCCAGCAATTTGTTCTACTTTTTTGTTGGGCTTCCCAGGTTGGGGATGCTTGGGGCAGCCATAGCACTGGTCTCAAGCCCGATCTTGCAGCTGGAATGCTGCACAGCGCCATCTTATTGCTTTCTCGAAGCTTGGCAATCCAGGGTTCCACCCGAAGCCCCCCTGAAAAAAGATGCTATGGTATACTGGTTGGTGGTTTGGAACATTTTTTATTTTCCATAATATATGGGATAATCCTTCCCATTGACTTTCATATTTTTCAGAGGGGTTCAAACCACCAACCAGTATATGGTTCACAATGTCAATGATGATTACCCTCTGGTAATGACTAACATAGCTATTGAAAATGTTGATTTATAGTGGATTTTCCCATTGAAAATTGTGATTTTCCATAGTTATGTTAGTTACCAGCGTGTAATTAATAACGATTATTCAGAATTTGTGAAATCATTGTTAGTTAGTAATGGTTCATAATTGGTGCATAACTGCATAACGATGATTAATAGTTCAAAATGATGATTCGTTGTCAATATTGGAAATACCCTTCGAAGGGAAATTAGAGAACAATACTGTAAAAATAGATTGTTCCGCGGGAAACTCCTTGTTTGGGGTTTCATCAAACATGCGTGGCTGGGGTTGGGAGGAGAGGAAAATTACCATCAACAGTCATTACTTTGGATGATCACACACTGATAGATGATGGAGACAATTATTCCTTTGAATTTCTGACAATTACTAGCCTTGTGGTCGAAAATCGACTCGTTCCCCTTGTGATGCAGTCTCGTAATTTCATATCATTCCCGGAACGTTTGATACTTCCATCTCAAGCCGCTCCAAGCTTCGTCTTGAAGCTGCAGTCCCAGAATAGGTTGCAAAACACCCCATCTTTGGGGCCAAAAACCCTGGAAACTGCCATGGGTTTCCGCTTCAGAGTGTTGAAATCCCATAGTTTACAATGCCACTAATTATAAATCCCATAGTTTATAATGCCACTAATTATGAATATCCCTTAACTACACCCCAACTAATAGTTACCATATCCCATGTTTTTTTCTTGCCACAGGACATTGCATGCGTCCACCAGACCGACCCCGAGTTGCGTGAACGCGGGGTCTACGGTATCGGTGGCTGGCTGTCGGTGAGTCGCTGAGCCGAAGAGTGAGGTAACATTAGGTAACCCCCCAAAAAATAGAACAGCGATTGATTACATTCCTTTCATTAGATTTAATTGGCCACTGTTTTTTTGGGATATACTTATACGGGGTATGATGTACAATTGTGGGGCCCTCTTTGGATGCAAAGCCAATCAGCAGATATCAGCAGCCCCATCTCCTCTGAGCAATCCACTGTTTGGGGCTGTTCTTTGACGCTGCTGCCATCCACAACGACAGGGGGACCGTTCTGACTGAGGTAAAGAGCTACGCATTCTTTGGAGCCCGCCCTATTTCTCGCAGCAAAGCTCAAAGGAATGGAAAGAATTGGGGACGGCTGTAGAGGCGCAACCTGTTTCAGAGTATTTGGTTGGTATTCAATTACCAGCCGTGAGTTTTGAACCCCTAGACACGCATAGGCTACTTGTTATGAACCCTGTGACATACCACTGATTGGCAGTGAGGCAGGGAGACACATCCAATTTTGGGCGATGTCATGTGTGTTTTCCATTCTGGGCCATTTGACAGAACTATGGCAACCCACCAAAAGATAGAAAAGTTTGGAACCTGCCCATTCTAAGTAAATATCATTTGTAACATCCTGGAAACTTTTCTATATACCTTTTTTGAGGGGCTGCTATGCAGATACCAACATTACGATTATATGACCTAAGTTTGCATTCAACGGGCCCCGCTTGGGCCGCTTGGGTCCCGGCGGCCCGAGACTTGCTCCGGTTGCATCAACGATTTAAAAAATGATGTTTAACATATTATGCCATAATTGTGTTGCATTAGATTCTGTTATTTTGTACCTTACATAGATATATATATATATACAATCAATGGCATCGTAGTGCATCGTACTATATATTGTACTACATTGTGGTATGCTAAATCATGACATGTTGTTTTGTTTGTATGTGGCAGTGGGAAAGTCATCCCAGCAAGACATGTTCAATTACCAGCTCGCCCGTGGGACCCGTGTTTCTACACCCAGACACTGGACCCTACAGTAGGATCAGAGGACAAAAGACATCAGCCAGATGTCTGAGGCAACTCAATTAATCAAATTAATCTCAATTCTACATATAAACGTATATATATATATGTATATACACTGTATATATATATATATATTATGCATCACATTACAATACGCAAACATGTGCATGTATTGATGTATACTGATGTAATTATTGTATTTAATACATTCACTGCTTTTACACACTCTAATCTTCCATAGAAAAACCGCAGCTTCTCCCCCAGCAGTCCACGGACCAAGGCGCCTTTGGTGCGTCTTCGAGGTCGCTGCTTATCGCATCGCCAATCCCAAAGGAAAGATCACCTTTCAGCCGGCCGCTTGGAGGAGGGTTTAGACGGTACCCAACGTTGCGAAAGGTTGTGAAAGTAACAGGTGCCCCAGTTTCTGTTTGCTAAGTTGGTTTATAGCTTATACATGTTTTTAACTACAGGTTAAGTTAAGTCCGAGTCATTCAAAATCTTTTTGTGGCAGAGATATCTATATAGTGAATGGGCTAAATAGTACCAACAAGCGTAACTATGGGGCACCAGCTTTGAAACTGGTTGTTGTCTTGTGTGGCGAAAGCCACCCAGTTATCAATGGGATAAAATCAAGGGGACTAACCAGGTTTTTGTTGGAAGAGTCGCTAAGTGGGATGATTCTCAAGTAGCAATCTACCCTCAGGTCATCAAGCATGGCAATTGAAAATACTCTATTTATAGTTGATTTTCCCAGCGATCGGCTTCCATTGAGTTCGGAGATTTCCAGTTACCATGTTTGATTACTGGAGGGTACCCAGAAAAAAATGTTTACCTTTAAAAATAAAAATAAAAAAAACAGTACCTTCAATTGAGTAACAAAAGGCGCTTCCAATCAATGGCCATTTTGCGGAACCTCTACTGGAGGCACTGGTACCATACAAAGCCATATGAATGGGGGGCTGCGGGGGCATATCCTTGCATAGACCTTATATATATATATATATGTATATATATATATATATGGCCCGTACCTCGAATTTAGGTTCCATAAATGACCACATGATCCAAGTACATATGGGCTTGTGATGGCTTGTGATTTGGCTTTGGAAGTCCCTATCGTTGGGAGGGTAGCCAATGGGGATCATTGAATTGTCATCATTACATGGGAACTGCTGACTTCCAATTTACACATATTTACACGAGTAAGACTTGCACCCCCGAGAGAGGCTATAATTTAGCCATACTCATGGCCCATATATATGATCCTCATGGCTCTGTCTCCACATGAGGCAGCTAGTTAGGCCACCAACTACGAAGGCCCAAATGTATCCAAATGTGAATAATCGGAAGTTCAAATCTCCAAGAATTCCAAATTTGTACGATGTCCAACCCCAGGGATACAGGACTCACATGTTGCAGGTTAGAGAGGTGAACCCCATGACATTTCCAGCACTAGGATCATTAGCCCCTGGCCTGCACCTCCAAGTAGGACAAATATCACCATAAATATCCCCATCATATTCCTCTGCCAATCCTATCAAATCACAATGAAATCACATTTAAATCCTATTAAGTTCCATTGAATCCCTACTAAATCACCATTTTCATCCCATGGTTCGCCCAGTCCAGTTGCCGGTACGCCAGGTCTTTGTAGAGAATCTGGTGATCATCGCTTGGTCACTGGGCATGCGTAGAGCTCGTTGGCATATACGTTGTATTAATTATTGATATAAATATATTGGTATAATTAGTGGTATAATGGATGATATATCACCAGTTATTTATATTATATTAATATTTGTTCATAAATACTTGGTGACGTATTTCTATTTCATGGTGATGAATCCCACCCCCTAATATTGAACACCCCATATTTCAAAACCCTCCATTAACACATCGTTTTATAACACATCGTTTTATTTTGGGGGGGGGGTGTTTAATATTTGGGGGATGTTATTGTTTGATATTTGATAACATTGGGTGATTCTGTTTATCTATAGATTATCGTTTTTTTTCACCAAAAAACAATATATAGATCTCGTAATTCAACGTATATAATGTAGAGTAGATATTATTGATAGATCGTACTTGATCATACCATCAATATGCATCAACCATGATGAACTCGGATATGCACTACATTGTAGATTGATTGTAAACCACACCTGCCCTGTGGTAATTTAGTTGAGTTGGGGTACATGGAAAATAACCAGCCAAAAACAGAAAAACACAACTAGGTACCATTACAGCAAATAAGCGGTCCAGTGGTTTAAACACATGGTACGAGATTTAATTAGCACGCATTAAGATATTATATTGGGGTCTTAATGGGGAGTAGTATGGAATAATACATGAACGGTGAAAATGTGGTGCCCCATATTTGGCTACGTTGGTGCATAAACTCTTATATTTATATTTCATGCGGGTTACAAACCGGCTGATAACTGGGGGGGCATCACATTGAATATCGTGTGTTCATTTACATATATATATAACTATATATATATATATCCTTTTCATTTATCATCATTATTATTATACATACCAGTGTGATGTTGTCATTGTTGTGTATCGCATCTTGTTTAGAGCGACACGGCTTTGAACATTCTTTGGGGAAAAAGCACCGAATCTGTGTCATCCAAGGTGGCCAGCTGGGAAAATCCAAGGGTCGATGGTTGTTAAATCTCCATTGTTGATGGTGATTTTCCCAGCAAAAGCTGGTTAAAAACCCAACAACCCCCATGAAATGCCATTATTTTTTTCATTAAATCCCTATTGTTGATGGTCATTTTCCCATGACCCCTATGAAAACCCCATGATTATTATTTAGATCTATTTACCAGCGGGTAAGGGCATCCAAGGCTGGCCGGGGGTTGGTGAATCCTTTCCCCTTCCTGTATGCCTTGGATTTTTTCACATGGGGTCCATACGGAAGTATTTTTTTTGGTGATGGGATTATATACTTGATATGTTGATTTTATTTTGATTTCTAATCAAGGGTTGATATATGTTTGATATACAATAACTAGATATAATTAACTCACATTGGCCCGCATAAAATCAGTTTTTTTTGGTCAACCAATGCTCAGCTGCCGGTTGCTGGTTGAATTATGTTGCGGATATTCTACTCTTAGAAATGGTACAGTAGGTCCCAGTGGAGTCCTGAGATTCCAGGCGCGGACATAGTTTGATGATTTACATGATTTGATTTGTCGAAAATGATTGCATTTTCTGGTTCCCTATGCTAAACTTTTAAAGAACACAATTAGTTAGTTATAGTGTGTTTCTATATTCCACTGATATCCCATTTTATTTCACTAATCCATCATTATTCCCAACTAGGGGGGGGACTTGATTTTGTTGTACTTCGTTGGTCACTGGAACACTCATTTGGGATGATGGTGATATGGTGGGCCTGAAACATCTGCATTTTTTCTTTGGTGATACCAGGGCCAGCAGCTACCATGATAGTTTGTTTTCTGTGTATCATTGCATAATGTGGGAAACCCCAATAATAGATCTACCCGTGGGGATGGTTCTGCACCACCCATGGTGATTTTTAGGGATCGTTTATTGTACCAACATGCATTTTTAAAAATTATACCCTTACCTATTTACACTTAGCACTCTGCAAACACGCTTGCATGTTGATTTATGGCCAAGGTTTTGCGTCTTCATGATCGTTTGGTCCCTGGGTTGCACGAAACAGCTCCAGATATAGCCGATAGCCAGATGCCTTGTTCGAATTGCATTGTTGGAGCATCGATTGACAAGCGAAATCTCTCCCCCAATAAGAAAATACATGAAAATACATTTTTGAAACCTCTGTTTTTTTCTGGATATAATGATTTTTAGGGTCCAAAATGTAGATGTTTAATATATGAGGGCGGGTTTATTTACTTGTGCCCATGGTATAAGAGTACATACCACTGTTCCAGTGGAAATTTTGAACATAAATTGAACTGGCTGGTGGTTTCAATTGATTTCAAGTGTATGTTGTTTTAATCACAGACATGGGATGATTCCCAATGACGAGTAAACATAACTCCATGGTCACTTTGGGTTTATGGCACTACTCCAATAGCAAGTTGCATCATTTGGTTTGATGGATGCAGTATCTACAAGCACAGCAGGGCACAACCAGGGGGGTTCCTGGCAGTTTGGAGGCAATGCCAGGTCATAAAACCACCCCTCAAAAAAAAAACATAGGACCCACAGTTTCAAGAATTCAAGCTGAAACTTGAGTTTTTTTAAAAAAAAAACCTGGAATTAACATACATAAGCTTAGTATGAGAGAACATCACCATTAGTGCCGACAGCACTAGCAACAAGGAACCTGACCAATGTCAGAACTCAGGATCCCAGTCTCCAGCATTTTTCGAATCGCTGATTGGTTTCAACCTACCTAGGCCCTCCGTTTTTGGCCAAAGATGATGGCGCTTTTTAAGGTAATTTTTCCCGTAATGTGGTAGACCCAAGAATGCACTATCCGCAAAACCACCATAGATGGGTCAGAAAAAAACCGGTAGGTTTATTATTGTATTATTGGTTGTTCCGTACATTCCCCATGGTATTGCGGGATTTCAGCAGGCCCCACTAAACCAGACATTCGAAGCACGACTTAAACCATCCCATAGCATTCTGAATTGGATATTTTCCTTGGAAGTTAGCAAACATGGATAGGTTTGTCATGGTTATTAAGTTATTAATGGTTAACACATCACTGGTTATTAATTAAATGACAGACTATCCCATGGGTTTAACCATCAATTGTCGTGGAATTAAAGGATTTTAACTAACATATGGGGATATATATATATATACATATGTTGATATCATTATGATGATTGATCGGTTTTGAAATAAAGAGTTATTGTGTTAATTATACTACCTGGCCTATCGATGCTTGTTGTTTTTTTAATGACCAGCAGCTGATTTGAATTGATTTTATAAAGTTCCGATATGATTAAACATTAAAATTTGATCCTTTCCTTTGGGAAAATATCACCTGGGACAATGGCGGCCAGATAAATCTGGGTAAACTATGGAGGCTGAACTCAGTGATAGATGCCACACATGATTCACATTGATTCGCATGGTCGGAGGACTTGGGAAATGATCCACAAAACGCGTTGTTATTGTTGGCTTGTGACAAGTACCATACTATACTATACCTTTCGATATATAAATGTCCCAACATGTCCCAACGTGTTAGCAGCACCCTTTGCATATGAAGATAAGGACGTTTCGGTCTCTGAACCGGCCCCCTTGGATAGACTCTGCAACAGTAATTTAGCGCCCCGCCTTCACCAGCTACCCACTTACTGGGAGATGCTCGAAGTTACAATAGCCACTGGGTAAACTAACAGTTTGCTATTGAAAATGGCCCATTTATAGTTGATCTATCCATTTTTAAAAAAGTGATTTTCCGTAGTTATGTTAATCTACCAAAAGGGTCGCCACTGATATAGTGTATAAATGTATAAAATATGTGGTCGGAACATGAGGCATAATTCTTTGAGCAATTCATCATAGATCCTCTGAAGCGTTGCCAGTGAAATCACGATGATTTTTTCTAGTTGGTCACCGACCACAACCGAGCCTACCAGTCCTCAGGTTTGACATTTCAGGTCTTCACTTTCCAGCTTCTTGGCAAGTTACGGCCCCAAAAATGATTTGGTCATTGCGTTGAGGGCGAGGATCATAGCAGTTTTTTTTTCCCATGTCAAGATATTGAATGTAGTCAACCCAATGATAAACCATCCCCAATATGACCATTATACATGGGTATAAACAATCCCGAGTGTAGCTTTAAGCATCATCGTCTATCGTTAAGTCTCCAACATTTTCCACCACTCGGCCAGGAGTACCGCTGGCTGTTTCTCCTGGTGGAGTTTCTCATGACCGTCCTGGTGATCTTTCCCTTGAAGGTCCTTTGGGCCAAGACGCTTGGGTCGCCGCTAACATGAGACATGGATGGGAATATATCGGTGAACTGTTAATTATATATGAAGCACCAACGTTGATTGGATTTTTATATGTATTTTTGTGATATTTTTTGACAAGGTCGATAAGGTGTTAAAACTGGGTCGACTCAACTAGACTATGATTTTGGGTGGATATATCGAAGTAGTCAAACACGTGAGAAGTGGGGGGGGTCCCTTCCTGCGCTTCCCGTGGGCTGCTGCTGGTGCCGGTGGATCTGTCTCAACCAGTAGCAATGCCTGGCTGTCGGAGCTACAGAGAAGGGCAAGGAAAACTACATCTATCGATGTCTCCTGATATGGATTGTGTAGAGCCATGTGGTAAATAAATGATCATATTCTATATTCATACTTTGTTATCTTTGTTTTATCAATACTGGGTAGTTGTTTCTTTATTTGCATATCTCTAGCTTAACCATGCGCGCCGACTCGAAGGAAGCGGCAAGCGATTGTCGATTTGGCGGACTTCACTCTCTCGGAGGTGGTTTGTGGGGACGATACCTTTGACCGACCCTTTGTATACTCCGCAATCAACGGCTGGCACCGCGGCAGACGGTGGGTGAGCTGGTCGGGGCTGCTGGAGATGTTGAAATGTTGAAAACTTTGGGCCGCTGTTTGAAAGTTGTGGTAAGCCATCGGTGTCACGGTAGTGGCCCATGCCTAAGAGGAAAGTCATCGACCTGAACCCGGTGGATGCAGAACAAAAACCCTTTGATTTCAGCAGGAGTTGATGGTTGGACATGTGTAGCTTCGGAGCTGTTTCACAACTTACGTTATTATTCAAAAAAAAACGGCTTGGTTGATTCAATTTCCCGAACCAATGAGAAAACGGTAGACCATGGTGCAGTCTTGAATCAGGGCGCGCACAGTCCACCAATTTCAGCCTCCCAGGTATGGTAGTTTGGACGACTTCACTGAGCCTCGGGTGCACCTTTCTTGATGAAAATTGTTGTAAGAAGCAAGATCCAAGTTGGTTATTAAGCCACATCTAGCATCATCTAACTATAGTTGTAATCACCAACCCTAGTTATCCTATGTAGCTATACATCAGTTTTGCCAACCAGGGCAACACCATGCACAAATCTGGTCAGCAAGTTGCCCAATGACCGTCAATGCAGTTCATTGGTGGGATTCGCATGGCTTGTGTACCCCTTGTTGTCACTCAATTAAGATAATGTCGTTCTTGGCTAAACCATTTTGTTTATTAGTGATTGTACATGTTGTTTCTTTCATGCAAGATTTCCCTTAGACCAATATGTTGTTTGTCTTGTCAGAGATGGATGAACTCACTGCCTAGAACAAGGCTGCACCCCAAAAGAATACCATTTGGGTTGAAGTGTATCTAAGATTTGCAATTAAACATTTTGGGATGTTGTTAATTTTCTACCACGGCGAAAAGGATGTGTCAATGTTGAGGCTTTAAAACCATGTGAAATCTATTGGTCAATAGTGAACAATGAGTAACTCTACGAACTATGGAAAGGAGCCCAAGGGAGTCCAAAGAGGGGATGTCCAGTGATGCTATAGGTCGTTTTATGAGGGCTAGGTTGAGGATGTTGAGGTGATGTGTGCAACTTGGTCGCCTCACTACCCTGAAAATCAGCTCCATGCGTTTGCTGGAAAATTGTTCACTTAGCTCGATGGGTTTCTCAGCTACAAACCTCCATTTGGTTCGGAGATTCCCGTTGCCACGTTTGATTACAGGAGGGTATTCATGATACCATTGACAGCCTTTAAGGTTTTCTTGTCCTCCAGTGAACAAAGAGTTTGCAAAATTTTGCGAACATGTTTAATAGCTGAATGATGGAAGTAAATGCTTCATTTTCCGCAGCTATGTTAAATTGCCACTAAATACGAACGGGTAAATCATTCTAATTCCATCCATCCTGAAGGACCAATGTTTCCATTAGATCCGAGTTATTGTATGTTATTGCGTAAACTCCACCTGTGAATTTCCGAGTTTGTTTGCTTAAAGGTCAACTACATTAAATCATATTAAATCTATCCGTCTGAACCCCCATTTCGGATGCTTACCATCCCCAAATTTGATGCGATGAACCCCATGATAGCTGAAATCCACAGAAATCCTCAAATGTTCAACTATAACACGCTTTAAACAATCTCCGGGGTTTCGCTTTTTTTTTGCTCCTGAAATCCAGATTGGCATCCTCATTCTGGCGGTTTGAAAATTCATATCCGCAGCTCGACTGGCCATTTTTTTAGGGTGAAAGCCCCCAGAGAACTTAGGACTTCGTCCGTGGTCCGTTGCGGCGGGACCTTCTCAACGATTTCTCCACCGTTCACCTCCCGTCGCCCGGCGGAATTGGGGGATTCAACTAGAAATCGGGTTTTTTTCTTCGAGATTTACTGCTGTAATAAGCCATATGGATTGATGGTTTATACCCGTAGTGACGGTAATTTTTTGCGATGGTTTACAAACCGTTTACAAACTATGATTGATACAATGCTTTATACACATTGCTTGGATTTAAGGCACGTGTTGGTCGAGGAGCATGGCTTTTACTGGCAACTTTGGGAAAAGGATAAGCACATACAATAACTAGGTTTTTGCTTGCCAGATGATGGTCGTCATTAAGGTTTACGATGGCACATATTGAGCCTGCTGGTCAAAGATGGTTCAAGGTGTTAGCCCTAAAGTCGTTGACTGGTCACAAGGCCCCAATGGATCCACATCTCAATTTCTGAAATTTGGATTCAAACATTTATTCTAAAAGAAGCGTTTTTTTGTTTAGAGCATGCGTCTTGAATTTCAAAAGTGCACGAGAAGGAAACATCTTTAAAGACCAAAGCCACGCCAGCTATGTTTTTTGCTCAGCGAATGTCACCATGGTTCATTTGATGTAAGCTTGCCGACCCAGAACCAAGTCAGTGAAGTTTATTTTTTTTTGCAAACTCCTACTTTTTGGGATGAAAAAGCAGCGGGAACATGATATCTTTTGTTCACATCCAAAGGCTGCACCTAATATGTACCCTCTGGCTATTTAACATAACCATGGAAGCCATGGCCCATAGAAATATATGGTTTACCTATTAAAAATGGGTGGATCTTTCCATGGCTATGTTAGTCATAACCAGATGGTAATGAGTTTCTTCGGGGGTTGGATCCCAAACCACTCCCCCAAACAACCGCATATAGAAAATCCCATGAAAGGGAGACGGTCAATGTCCATGGCCCATGGCCGTCGACTGGAGGTTGACTTGTTGACTTTCGTGGGTTCCACCGAGGTTTGCCTATTACTTCATGATTGCGAGCCACTTGTGCTGCACCTTTCAGAAATAGACGCAACAGGCATAAAACTTAGAAAAGACGAATACCTCCTGCGGAAAGTGAATGGAAACTGCTAGCAGTGATGGTTATCATCATATGGGTGGGATGATCATGGCGGGATCACCTGCTACGACTCCTGTGTTGATTTGTGAAGGATGTACCTTCTGGTAATTTGTTACATGACTATGGAAAATCACCATTGAAATGGTGAATTTTCCCATGAAACATGGTGATTTTCCATAGTTATGTAACAAATTACCAGAGGGGAACTGTAGGACCTCAAAACTTTAAGAAGCTCGACACTTGAAGCAACAGAAGCGCCAAAGTGTATGAGTCGATATTTTCCATGTCCATTATTTGTGCTCAGCCAGATGTTTGAATAGCATGAAATACAGCACGCTGGTATTTACAGTTCTACCAATTCTTGGAGCCCGAATCAATTGAAATGGCTGGTATGTTTGAGATATTTGTTGGGATGTTGACCAACTTCACTCAACCCAATACCCTCTGGTAATTTAACATAGCTATTGAAAATGGCCATTTATAGTGGATTTTCCCATTAAAAATTGTGATTTTCCATAGTTATGTTAGTTTACCAGAGGGTAATCAACCTGCCATTTGTGGACGGTTTCCATATGTTTCCATTGGGGCCACATTGCTGTGGTTGACTCCTCGATTCGGCGCCCATTACATGGGCATTGAAATGGAGATTTAAAGATCCTTAAAGGATATCAAAATGTGTTACCCCCAGAAAAACTCTTCAAACTACTGTATGATATATAGCAGCATGTAGGATCATTTATGCATAATGTCAGTGCCGCAATAGTAAACCATCCCTAAATCTACTGTAAATGGCTTGTATAAACCATCAATCGATATGGCTAATTACAATTAATATCCCTAGTAAATCCCGCAATTCCTGGGTCAACTCCCCCATTATTGATTTTCATATCTTTGGAAAATGGACCATCTATAGATGATTTACCTTTTAAAAATGGTGATTGAACCATTGAACCAATAGGATTTGTTCATGGATATTTTTCATGGGAATATCACCAAACAGAAGAGGATAGAACGGAGATTAATGATGATTAATGGGATTATACGCACACACGCATATATCTATATATAAATAATATAATTATATATATATACACACTGTACACCATTTTCTACCTCTCTTTGGACCACCGGATCCATCGGATTTTGGGACCAGAAATCGAGGTCCCTTCTTTGGGCGCTACCTGGACTACTCCCTGGCCATGTGGAGCTGCGCCACGACTGCGGTGGGGAGATCACCAGGAACAGGCAAAGTCCCAGCAAGGACTACGTTTCCACTTATCTGTGTATATCATATATGTTGATCATTATTTATGGTTATGTCACTCATCTATCTATCGATCTATCTCTATCTATCTCTATCTATCTCTATCTATCTCTATCTATTTGTCTATGTGTTTGTCTATGTGTCTGTCTACGTGTCTGTTTATGTGTCTGTCTATCTGTCTATATATCTATCTATCTATCTATCCATCTATCTATCTACTGTATCATCCATCTATCTATCTATCTATCTATCTATCTATCTATCTATCTATCTATCTATCTATCTATCTATCTATCTATCTATCTATCTATCTATCTATCTATCTACTGTATCATCTATCTATCTATCTATCTTTCTATCTTTCTATCTATCTATCTATCTATCCATCTATCCATCTATCCATCTATCCATCTATCTATCTATCTATCTATCTATCTATCTATCTATCCATCTATCTATCGATCTATCTATCTATCTATCTGTCTATCTATCTATCTATCTATCTACTGTATCATCTATCTATCTATCTATTTATCTATCCATCTATCTATTTATCTATCTATCTATCTGTCTGTTTGTCTGTCTATCTGTCTATTTGTCTATCTGTGTGTTTGTCTATCTGTCAATCTTTCTTTCTTCCTCCACTCTTTTTCTCCCTCTTGTCCTCTATCTGATGTGCAATATGTATCAATATGTTGACTATAAAAGAATGGGGACATGACTCCTGCACCCCTGTTTGTGCAACGAAGTCATAGGTGATTTGGATCAACAATCCACCCATCGCGGAGTGTTGTGGCTTTGCTGATAAGATCAGTCGTAGCAGGAATGATCCCCCATGAGTTAATATGTTACTGGTTGGTGGTTTCAGACACTCTTTATATTTTCCATAATATATGGGATAATCCTTCCAATTGACAAATATGTTCAGAGGGGTTAAAACCACCAACCAGGTTACATTATATTACTGGAATCAGGTAGGGAACGCAGATCCAGCAGGTGTTGCAAGCAGAGCGAATCGCTAGGGCTGATGGAATCCCCGCGCTCAATGAAAGTCTGCTGGGAAATTCATTGGTGATTTTCCTGCAAGCTACGTTTGACTGCGGTAGGGCATGGTAGGGTATAGATCATCCTTATCCTTGGAGGTTTATTCTTGTTATTTGCCGGATGATCTTCCCAGAAAGACAACCATTTTAGCATCATGCAACCTTTGCAGCTATTGCCCAGAGCGAACGTGCTGGGCTGGCTGTTGGGGCAAACCCTCTGAGAAGCCCCGGCAAAAAAAATATATTCCCACAAAGAATTGCCAAAGCCTGACATGGCCACTTGTCAGCCCCAAAGTGGTCACTTTAACTGTCAGGTCGGCATGGTTTTGTTTCGGGTCCCTCATGCGGGGGTATGTAATACAAGGGGGGTGGCAGTACCACAGAGGATAAATCAAGACAATAAGAAGTGGTTGAACTGATGAAGGGTATGCAATGGTATGCACCTTTTTTATTCCTAGTTATCATTTTGGTGCATCTCTTGCTGACAATTGAAGTCCCAGTTCGGCATGATGTCCGTGCCACGGCGGCCGAGGTGACAAAATACCTCATGATCTCGTTTGGTCTTATTTCCTCGCGACTCGGATGACGAGTATACATAGGTATCCATATTTTCCGTATATATATATATATATATGTGTGTTTGTCTGTGTGTGTGTGACTATATGCATATGTATATGTATATGTATATATATTTATTTGTATACGAATGCACACACATATATATATATATGTATTCAGTTTTAAATTGTTTATGTGAGTTTCTTATTTATATACAGTTCTTGCACCGTATATTTCATGATAGTTTTCATACGTACATTGTTGAAACATGTTTAAACTACTTGTGCTAACCAACCACAAATCCCCTGAACGATCGCCTCTCCAACAGCCCAGGCAATAATTGTGTCAATGAATCATCAATTCCCCATGCCCCAAGAATTAAGGCCAAACAATCAGGGGCTCAAATATTAATACCAATGAACTATTATTAGTATTTATTAGTACTATATCATTATGAGAGACGCTTACTGTAATTACTAGTACAGTACTATTATTACTGATTGATAAACCAACGGTGATTATATTGATTATTAGTATTATATCTATATCGTCAATGATTACTAAACCAATTATATTTATTAGTACTATATGTTTGTTAATGAGTAACTATAAACAAATTTTGATTGGCAGACATACTACCAAACAATAACCATGGTGAATCCCTATTGATTAGTACTATTGATAACTATAATTCGTACGCATATGCGAACCTTGGTGCTGGTATATTTACCTACATAACTGGGTGATTTATGTTGGGCAAATGTTGGTACCCTCTGGTAAACATACGAAAAACTATGGAAAATCACAATGTTTAATGGGTAAATCCACTATAAATGGCCATTTTCCAGAGGGTAAATATTCCAGCACCATGGTTCGCATATGGGGTATGATTAGTAACTACAAAAAACGAAAACACATCGTTGCAGGCCATGGGTCTCTCCAGAGGAGGAGTCATGATCATGGCCGTCAAGGCTTGCGGAGTTGATCCTTGTGGATGACAAATCTTCGCAGTGGGTGGGAAAAAAGACAGGAAACCCATGGTTAAACCCCTCATATTTCATGGGAAAATCTATATATATACATATGTGTGTTTTTTGGTAGATTTTCGCTTAAACCAATCCATGGTTTTGAGATCTCGTCCATTTCACAGACCTCCGGTCAACATCCCTATTGACGATTGACTTCTGCGGGGTTTTCCTTTTTTTCTCGGGGGTGGGTCAACCACCATTGGTTTCAGCCCAACTTGTCCATCACATGCCAAGCGAGTCAAGCGAATACTCCTGCAACGCTCTCGTGCCCCCCATTGAAATGTTTGTTGGTTCATAACTCCCATTCTCTAGTTCGACCTACTGTGGATGGTTGCGAAATCCTGCACCAGTTCATCGATGGTTTATCCCATTGTTAATAGGCTTTCTACCATCCCAGGTGTTGCAGGATTTCGCAACCATCCACAGTACCCTCTGGTAAACTAACATAAGGAAAATCACCATTTTATAGCTGGGTAAATCCACTATTTCTATGGTCATTTTCAATAGCACACTGTTAAATTACCAGAGGGTACCATGAAACATGGCCTGGTGGTGTTTACCCATTTTGCTCTCGTTTGGGTGCCTCAGCTTGTTACAGAGGACTTCGTGAAGCTGGTTGGCTGAACCACAGCTGTTGCCGCTGTTGCCCAATACTTAGCTAAGTTTGTTACCAACAAAAAACAGCCAGAGTTTGTTTATGAAAGATAATTTCCATTCACATCCTTTAAGTTATCATCTATTTTACATTTGTGCATCATCTATTTATGTAATTTATATCCATTATTAGGAAGCTTACACCCATAGAGCTTTGGTGGTTTACCCACTTATGTACCATTTTTTCATGGAAAACCCATCAACCACCTTCACGCGAGCTGGGTGCCTGGGTGCCACCACCCTGTTATCAGCGCTTATATATCAATGGATTGGATTAAGGGGAAAGTTACAGGAAACCATAGTTTTTCCCATTAAATATGGGGCTTTCCTGTAAATGGTCCCTTCATCCAATCCATTGAATATAGATTAATTTCTGAAATGTACTGCTATGCATTTACCCTCTGGTTATGACTAACAGTTCGCCATGCATAGCCATGGTATAGATGGCCCATAGAATCATATGCTTTACCGTTCTTAATAGCATGGTGGATCTTTCCATGGCGAACTGTTAAATAACCAGATGGTAGTTGTTTGTCAAGAGAGTCGGAGGTTTTTTGTTTAACTCGCCGTTTGTTTCTGTTGATAAAATAAAAAAACCTCACCCTTTGAATTGTGTTGACCAAACAGCTATTTACTGTAAGCAGTAAGCTCATCATGGCTGGGTTAAATCTTTTCCCACATTTTTGTTGGTGATTTATCTAATCACTATGACGTGTCTTTCTTCAAATCACCATATTTGGGCGGTGCTTTCAAACACTGACGATCCCCACTTTCGCACATTTTCGAGATGGGTGGCCCAACCACCACTCAGATGGTGTACAAACTACAACTTATAGACGATTTGTTCAACAGGTGGGACCCCAGAAAGCTAAGTTTATCACGGTAATTACAACTAGGTTAAATTTCGCACTATTTCATGTGGGATATAAATCAGCAAACATAACAAACATAGTTTGAGGTGCCCGCCTTGCAATGCCACCTGAAACCGCTGCAGGTGATCTTTCTGCTGGTGGATTTCTTCGCCGCATCGCCAAAGGTCTCCGTGGCCAGAGATCCTTGCACTAAGAGGTTTTCACCGGAAGAACATTTGGTTTTCTAGCAGGTTTTGACAAATCCGCATGTATAGGAATATGGTCATGCATATTTATTATAGACCTATAATATATGATACTATGTTTTTACACACATTTTGAACCCATCTTCGGGAAAACCTTGTGAATAGATGAGGGTTAAATCGAAATAGATCGTATTAGATGGTGATAGAACTGTTTCTTAGGTTTGGGGGTCAACATGCACCCAGAGTGAAAAATCAGAAGGAAGAATGCTACGCGCACACACACACACCCACCAGCACCCCTCGTCTATCATATGATCCTCCCAATTTTGTTGATAATTTTGGAAGGTCAACCACTCTACAACCCCAGGAAGGTTCAAGACTGCCCCTGTGTTCGCATTGAACTTTCGTGTCACCATCCCAGCAGCCACTAAGACCTGCATCCAGACTTCCATCATCATATTGGTGATCACTGGCCTTGTATGGTGCGCCTGGTGATGATCAACTGCCTTTTTTCCCCTGAAAAAGAGATCCCCCTGGTGCGTCAAATAGATCAAATACAAGCTGGGGACCCCCACGTACTGGTCTATAATCACCATTGACTCAATGGGAAATCCAGGATCCTAAAATGGAGGTACTGTACCATATAAGGCCATATTTTGTGGGGATATTCCCTTACATAGGCCTTACATAGGCCTTATATGGTAGGTACCTCCAATCTAGGATCCTGAAATGGCCATTGACTAACGAGCTCGTTATGCTTTGCATAAAGCCAAGTTAGCCAAGTTAGAAGCCAACTTAGTGATCGTTGGGGTCACCGCGTTTCATGGATAATATCAGCTAAAAAAACAGCTTAGGGGAGTTTCGCCTTGACAGTTACTGGGATTTAAGAAACTTTTTAAGGGGATAGAATTATATGGATTTACTATTTGGTAATCGTTTGGAGAGCTGGGCAAACAGCATGCTTAAATGGTCGAATGCGGGATTTATATGTTATCTAGCCATCAGGTGCTGATGGGGTTTAGCCGCTTAGCCATATGTTAGTCCACCATACACAAATATCCATCAAACATGACAATAATAAATGATATATATATATATATACATATATAATATATATACATATTTATATATATTTATTCAAGTCTCATAGCAACTGGACCCTTTGCAAATTCAAACTGGCTCTTCAATAACTGAAGCTGTGTAGGCTC